CTAACCCTAACCCTAACCCTTACCTTAAGTTAAATCGCGCTTCTGTCGGCGCGCTGTTGTTGGCGCGCTGTTGTCGCGCGGATTTGACGGTGCTGTTTTGTCACCACGCTTTAGTCACACGCGCTTTAGTCTACCGCGGTTTTGTGGTGGAACCGAATTCTCCATGCATACATGCGTTTCAATATGCTTCCGATAGGGAGTCTTTCCTTCATTATATTTTTTTGAAAAAAAATATGTGGGACAGGTGGTATAGATAATAGAATCAGACACAAGCAGAAAAAGATGATTGGATAAGTAACAAGTCTGGAAAAAAACATAAATGAATATATATATATATATTTATAATACATATTTAAAGCCAATCAGAGTCCTTCTCTAGGGCTCAGAAACGCTGGAACATATGCCAGAAGAAGTAGGACATTAACCTGAAGCGTCAATATTAATTACGCTCAGCAAAATCAGAGCTTCCAAGTATATGCAGAGCAAAGATTTGGCCAGATTTCCCATATTTAGAAAACGGAAAGCGCCGAAGAACTCAAGTAATGCACCTTCCAGCTTTGTTTGAGTCCCCCATCTCTCTCTTTCTCTCTCTCTCCTCTCTTTCTCTCATTTCCACATTCTCTCTCTCTCCTCTCGCTCCTCCCGCTCTCTCTCCTTTCATCTCTCTCTTCTCTCTCTCCCTGCCACATCTCCCCCCTCTCTTTCATCTCCCCCCTCTCATCTCTCTCTCTTCCCTCTCTCTCTCATCTTTCTCTCATATCTCTCTCTTCTCTCTCCTCCCTCTCTCTCATCTCTTTCTCATTTCTCTCTCCCCTCCCTCCCTCTCGCCCTCCCTCTCTCTCTCATCTCTCTCTCCCATGTCCCCCATCCAATATCTCTCTCTCTCCTCTCTCTCTCCCATGTCCCCCATCCAATCTCTCTCTCTCTCCTCTCTCTCCTCCCTCTCTCTCTCCTTTCATCTCTCTCTTCTCTCTCTCCCTGCCACATCTCCCCCCTCTCTTTCATCTCCCACTTCTCATCTCTCTCTCTCCTCCCTCTCTCTCTCATCTCTTTCTCATTTCTCTCTTCCCTCCCTCCCTCTCTCTCTCTCATCTCTCTCTCCCATGTCCCCCATCCAATATATCTCTCTCTCCTCTCTCTCCCATGTCCCCCATCCAATCTCTCTCTCTCCTCTCTCTCCTCCCTCTCTCTTTCCTTTCATCTCTCTCTTCTCTCTCTCCCTGCCACATCTCCCCCCACTCTTTCATCTCCCACCTCCCATCTCTCTCTCTCTTCCCTCTCTCTCTCTCATCTTTCTCTCATATCTCTCTCCTCTCTCTCCTCCCTCTCTCTCTCATCTCTTTCTCTCATCTCTCTCTTCCCTCCCTCCCTCTCTCCCCCCTCTCTCTCTGTCTCTCATCTCTCTTTCCCATGTCCCCCATCCAACCTCTGTGTGTGTGTGTGTGTGTGTGTGTGTGTGTGTGTGTGACACATACATCTTCTGGCAATGTGACCCAAATTTGAAAATAAAATACACACAATTCATTTCATCCCAAAACTTTTCTCCAGCTATTTATATTATGGGAAGGAAAGGCTGGCTTTAATCCATATAGTGTTAATTTCAATCAAGTTGTATCAATCTAATCTTGGTTGTACCAAAGGTAAAAGGTGCCTTTTTTTTTAGAGGGAGGGGACATATGAACCCAAAGGAATGCTATTTTTAAGGTAAATTTACAACCCCATCAAACTTTCTGAAATTCTAGGTAGTTTTTTTTTTCCAAACCAGAGAAATAAGAAATCTAATTGGAGAAAATTGGGAGAAGCCGCAGTTAAATATTACAACATTAAGCATCGGTTGTTCAAAATGTTTTTAAAACTGATTGGATTGCTGGGGGGGGGGGGTTCCCCCCCCTCTTTTCAAGAAGAAGTGAATCTGGCTCTTAGCTCCCCACCCCCTCCCCTCTTTTCCATCCCCCTTTTTCTTCTTCTACCCCGAACCTAATAGAGTTTCAGATTTGTGAAGGGGCAGATCGATACGTGTCATCTATTAAAGTTAAGTTTTAATCGAACAATATGAGGATCAGAGCGGGCCGGGAAAGAGATTTGAAGTCGGTACCTGCAAGCTGGGGGAAGGAGATACGCGGGAGTCGGTAATAGGATATCGATCAAGGGCGTTGGGGAGGGGGAGCGAAGGCATCCTCTCGAGGGGGGAGACCGCAGGAACAATTATCTGGCTTGTCCTTCGCCCAGCGCGTCCCGATGCCAATCAGGCTCCGAGAGCCGCCTCTGCCGACCAAGCCCGGGCATGGGGCGGAGTAGGGGGGGGGGGGAGTCCTCTGGGAGTCTCAGCTTTCGCGAACCGATTCTCTGCTCGCCCTTCTCCCGCGGTCTCTTAAAGAAGACCCGCGGTCCGTCCGGGCCCAAGGCCCTCAATTCCCCGAGATGCGGCGAAGGGCTCCGAAAACTCCGCAAAGCGGGTCGAGCGCCCTTATTAGCAGAGCTCCGGTTCAGTCAAGGACAGCTAGACCCGGTCGGGGGCCGTGAAGAGGATCAGGGCAGAAGGAGGCCTAGATAGATAGATAGATAGATAGATAGATAGATAGATAGATAGATAGATAGATAGATAGATAGATAGATAGATAGATAGATAGATAGATAGATAGAT